TGACGGACAGGGATCCTCGCCACAGATGAATCGCTCGGTGGCAGTGCTTCCCCAGACGGCAGAGGAACCGAGACGCATCCCCTGTCCCAGGCAGCTTACGGGAATTTTGGCCCTCGGTAATGACAGCGGAGAGAGGCGGGACGCCGTAGCATCACAGCAAAGAGAACGCGCCCGTCTCGGCCACGGCCACGCGGCGACAGCTCTGTGCATAAGTAGTAACCGAGGCGTAACGCCTTTGTAACCGAGACAACAGCTTCATTACGTACACCCAGGCTTTTTAGAAAAAGCGAGTTTCAATTCTGATCAGTGCAGTGCCCCGCAACCAGTCTGTGCCCACACACCCCCTCCCTACGTCCACGGCAAGAAGTTGCAGTGCAGAATCAGTCCCAGCAGCCAGTAGGACAAGAAGAATCCAAGAAGGCATTTGCCGAGGGGGGTAATGAACCTACGCTTCAGCAGCAGCCTCACGACGGGGTTTTCAGAAGTCCCTTTCCCACAGGAACCGGGAGATTTACCTAAAAGAGACTTCTCGGAGCGAGGCGCCGCGGTTTGATTATCAGTCCCTTCGCTCCGGAGTAAAGGTTCGTATTCTTGAAGCAGGTGAGCGGAGAACCAGTACAGGACGGGAGAGGAGGAGCCAAGGAACCGGGTCAGCACCTGAAGACGACAGGCAGAGCAAAAAATCACATAAATTGCAGGTCTCCGACTGTGAGCGGCCCTGATCCCGAGGCACGGAAGGAGCCATCCATCTGCCTCAGATTGCTGATAAAGGGGACTGAAATACGGCCCCAATTCACGGCGCTAGGATTTATTACATTGAAACGAAACACCTCTCAGCTCAACCTGCTTTATTTATTACGACATTTGTGTAAGCAGTCGAGCGGTCCCCAGGTTTTGGGCCAGCACGGTAACTAATTGTCACTCTTTGTCACCGTCCAGCTCAGGAGCTGGGCAAGGGGCAGCAGCTTCAGGGGAGATCTGAATCTCACTCTTCAATTGTTTTTTCACTGGAACCCCCAACCTTTAGTGCCGCTAGCTGTGTCCTAAAAAGACCTTCAAACGCTTTCTAGAGACCGGCGACAGGCTCTGGCTCCTTTCATTGCCATCCACTACGCTCGGCCCAACGTAATGACCCGGTACGCTCATCCTCCGACAGCCGATTAGCGGGGCTGGGCAAGCCTGGCCTTAAGCCACCTAACACCAGCCGGACCCTTTGATCCCCGTCCCGGCGTCCTCATCACGCTGAGCACCTGGCAAGCTCTCTTCAGGAACTCTCCAGCGGAGCAGAGGAACTAACTGGCTTTGGAAACTCTCTGCGGAAGTAGCTCCGAAAGAGGAAAGGCGAAGCTTTTGGTTTGCGCTGCCCCGTGCTGGCCCTGCAGCTGGGACAGCTTCAGGCTGTGACTGTCGCTGCCTCAGCCACCGTGCTGCATTCCCCTTAAGAAACGACTCCTGTGTGTTGCTATGAACGTCCTACCTGCACGTGCATGCAGAAGAATCCAAACGCCAGCAGGACTGTGGCATGGACCACGTACACGAAGACAGCCGGGCAGCAAAATCCAGCTCTTGGTTTACCCTCTTCTTCACCCTTTCTTCTCTCTAGACCAAGAGTTACGCAGTGCCGGGGGTTTGCGATGATGTAGGTCCAGGCAGCCC